GGGTGGTGGGTGGGGGGTGTGGGGCGGGGTTCTTGCTAGAGTTTTCCCCAAACCACTTAAGTACGCCACTGGAAATGACAACATCAACAACAGCATTCCAAAGATCTCATTTTTTTAAAGCAGGCAAACTATTTCAAATTGATTATTGCTAATGATTGCGTCTCTTGAATAACTGACTCGCAGTCGTCTCACCGAGTCAAACTTGTTCCGGTCGGCATGTGTCCGAGTCGTGCCGGAACCGAGGGCTCCGGTCCCAGCCGCAGGTCCGCGCAAAGCCGGGCTGGAGAGCTCCGCAATCGGGACGCAAAAAGTCCCAACACTCCACCAAACGAATGAGCTCCACGGACGGACGACTTCAACACAACACGCGATGCGTTCGCGGACCTCTCGAACGCAACGACGGATTAGCCTTGATGAGGCGCGCGCGTGGGAGTATAATCACGTGCACGCGCTCGAGGGGCTCACCTCTGACGCGTGTTTTAGTGCAGCATGACTTTCCCGCCACAAGTCTTTGCTCGTTCCCGAGTGTCCGTCCAGCGGCGATCCAGCCCGGGCACGCGCGCGTAACCACCTGGACAACACACGCACGCACGGCCGCACACATCCAGGAAATGAGCACACGCACGCACAAGATCAGGGACGTCACTCAAGTTGCGGGAGAAAACAAGTTTCAACAAGTGAAACTGATCAACACTTTTGATTGGTGCACTGGCGCCACTCAGTGGACACATTCGACACACAGATGCACTTACTAGACATTTCATTAGGTACACCAAGGGGCTGGAAGCCAATCATTCTAATCAAGTCTTTGCTAATGATCATTCGTCGTGTTCTGTTCAATTGAGGGTCATACTGAGTGTTCCTAATGTTTTGGCTCATTGGATAGCAGCTTTGACGTGTTGCCATGTCAATGTAATCTGCCCCTGGGCTTCCCACTGAATCACACATCTGTACATGAAATGCCAACTACGATGAATCAATCACTAATTAAATTAATCAATACTTATTGAACACCGATTAATTATTTGGATATTTTTGTGGGATTAACAATTCCTCAGAATTCCAGCTTTTCAACAGTAAATAGGTTCACATTTCCAGGGGCGGAACTATGTGGTGGCCACAGGTGGCCATACCAACCCCTTCTCACTCCTTGGCCATGTGTTCCCATCTGGGTTTATGTGCATCACATTGAGCTGCATTTGTAGTTAGCTTGTTCATTTAGCCAAAACAGCCATCCAAATGACAGGACATGATCCAAAAAGTAATTAAAGTACATCAAAAATGGTAGCAGTGAGCTAATTTGCTTGCTCGTTTATCTTGAGCAGAGTAATGAGATGGTAAATCATAAAAAGTTGAGTTAGCTGTGTCTCTTTGTTTAACTTGAGTAGTCATGATCAGAGAATATATGCTGCCATCACAAGAAGTCAGCTAATTACTTTGTTCGTTACCTGCGAGAATAGTCTTCCTATATGGACAATATGATGGAATCACTAAATTTAGCTAACTAAGTCATGACTTTTACTCAACCATCTTAAAGAGACGGTGTGCAGTAGTCACTTGCAGTTAACTAGTAAGCCTGTTCTCTTAAGGCAAGAGTTCATCGCAAATACTTGTTTAAGAAAGCTAGTTGACGAGACAGTCCACAGAATTCACTTCCGCCATCAAAAAAACCCAAAAACCATCAGATCCAAACTTGAGTGACATCATGTTACCATATATAGTCAAACTCTAACAATGGCATCCTTTGTGTGTATGTGTTCGTAACACAAAATGGCGGACTAGCTGGCACTAGGAGCATTTTTGGCTAATTGCTAACTGTGCTAGCATGTTATCGTGATGACATTAAAAGACACTTTTTTCGGTCACTTCCTGTACAGATGAGGAGTTTGGCACGTGGACTCACCGCTGTGTGGTCTTCACCAGGAAGAGGTGCCACCAGGTCCAGCTGTGGGTTCCCTGTTCGATTCCTCGTCTCAAACAAGTCGGCAAGCCAGACCAGCTGGCTTGAGGAGGCACGATGCACAAGTGGTCAGCGTTCCGAGCCCAGTCGTCAGATGTAGTCCAAACCCGCCGCCCCTCCCTGAACAACACACCCTGTGACCCACCCCTCCTACCCCAAAGTACCCCTCCGCACACACATGAACCCTCACCCTCCCTGACAGAAGCTCACCTGTCGTTGTCACTCCTTCTAAATTTAGCTGAGTCGTCATTGATGTGGTGTGTGTGTGTGTGTGTATGTATGGTAATGTGCATCTGTGTGTGCGTGTTGAAACTCAGTTGATTTTAAACGACTTTTAACAGTTGAGGTGGCCAAGATCGAAGGAATTTTTTTAAATTCATATGAGCATTGCGATCAATCATGATCAGCTGGATGCCAGCAAGAACCCGATTTATTTTGAAAGGCTTTAGGACAGGAGAATCACGTCAATTTCTTTTCCTGGATATCACAAGAGTATCTCAAACGGCTTCACAAAGATTCGCGACACTCCAACCCCATTCCAGCAAAACCCCAAATCTCATTTGGAAAATTAAGAGGAAATCTTGAGAGTTGTGTTGCTTTTGAGTGACATGGCAGCCATGAGCAAGTTTTGCAGGCTATGATGACATTCAGCACTTCAACGGGTGATTGAAGGATTATCACCAGAAGAATTCTGCGGATTTTGGACCAATCATGTGGTCCGCGGTTTCGAGTTGCGCTGACAGCCGCGCGTCCGGCGTAAACCAATCTGGACGGTGGGACGAGTGCCGTGCGTGGCTGGCAATCCAAAAACTCTCAGACTTGGCTGCCAATGGCCGGACGGCATTTGCTTTTGTTTTGGTTGAACATGAAACAAAACTCAGCCGACTTCTTGAAGTTCGATACAGACTTTAATTTTCCTGACAAATCCACTTGCGACATTTCAAAATAAAGCTCAGCCGGCTGGCTTCCTTTTAAAGCCACATTTACACTTACATTTTGATGAGCTGCCAGGAAGACATTTTAAGCATTTTTCCTGTGGAAAAAAAAATCCTTAAATCTTGACTGAAGGCTTATTTTTACACTCTTGCTTATAATCAAACCACCTGTAGGCCTGTTGTACTGCCACTTCTCCTTTCCCTCCCCCTCCTCCTCTCCTGACGAAGCACTTCCGAAGGCGTCTACTTGCGACATCCATTGCAGCCTGAACATCCGAGAAGGCGGCTCGTCCGTCTGTCGTCTCTTCTCAAAATTTAATTTTTCCTCAAATGGGGTTTAGAACTTTTCCCTGTCCTATTTGGGGGTTTAGATCTGGGCACGTCACCAAGGTGTGCCAACTGTGGGCCCTGAGAGGCCCTTTGGGACTCCTTGGTGATTAAGAGCTGTACAAATAAACTTGACAGGACTTGAGATGTGATGTCACCGCCAGTGATATTGAGGTTAGAGGCCAGCTTAAGAGGGTCAGGCCCTTCACTGAACATGGCTGCAAGTGATACGTCGCCGACCTCGTTTGTCTGCTGCCTCTTTTCTACTTTGTGGTCACCTTCGTCTCATCAGCCAATCGTCACTGAACAGAATGCAAGAGGCCCCGCCCACCCAATCGAGGCCCGCTTTGCCGGCGATGTCAACCTCGCCAAGTTCGCCCCACTCAAGGTCAAAGGGCAAGTGTCGTCACATGGTTTGGCATAGCTCAAACTATTTACTGCCAGCTGCTCACACATACACACTGTGCGTTCCACTATGTGCATTTGTGCGGATTTTGTCTTGGGCTGAACGTGTGTTAATAGGGAGTCACTAGTATGGTGTGTGGGGCGTCCAGCGCGCGCAATATCACGTGCTCAGGCCTCAGGTAACAACCAATCACGGCTCGAGTGATGTTCGCAAGCTGAGCATGAAAACGGCTAAATGTTTCGAAGGAGCAGCACAACGGGTTGGATTGCAGCATTAAAACCACGGTTTCTTTTTTTTTTTTTTTTTTTACATTTTATGGGATTATGTTATTCCTGTGTTTTTAGAAAGGACATTTTTATAGAGTGTTATTTTGAAGAAAGTAAAATCACTAGTGTGCTGAATTGTCTCATTCACGAGGACAAAGAGCGAGAGCGTACTCGTACAAGAAGCTGAAGCTGGGTCGAATAACTTGCAAGTGTGTGGAGTCATTGCGTGGAAAGTTGGGGGGGGGCAGCTGAGGGGGGGTTCTTAGAGGTCGTAGCCGGGGAGGAACTGCAGGCCAGGTTTATTTCTGGCCTTAGCCTCTGACAGCTGAGCATGTGTGAGGGCAAGTCCCGACCGAGGCAACACGGCCGCTGACCTTCAGCACCGCAAGGCCTGGTTGCCATGGCGAGGTGCGGGGGGTGGTGGGGGCGGGGGTGCTCCACAGCGCCCCGCTGGGGACACGGACCGAATTTCCCATTTATCATGGGTGTATTGGGTGAGGCAGGGTTAACATGGTAAGCAAGCTTTAGGCAAACTCTCGCGCAGGGATTCCCAACCAGTGTGTGCCGTGGCATAACGGTTTGCCGCAAATTAAAATATTTCACCAGGAATAAGTTAACATGTCGATGAAAATTGACATTTCTGATGCGGCAGGTGTAACTGGTCTGCACAAAACCAAATAAAAACTTTTTAAATGCTTCAGTACTTTTTTCACATCTAACGTGGAATCACTCAGAATTAAACATGATTGTAATTAATATTTATGTGTGGTTATTTAAAAAAAAAAAAAGGCACTGCTGGGATTCGAACCCAGGATCTCCTGTTTACTAGACAGGCGCTTTAACCAACTAAGCCACAGCGCCACCTATGAACCTAGAGCACGGATTCGAATGGTACAGCGATTCAAGAGTGGCCTGCAGTCACTGACAAGGATCATTTATTCACTTCACTCCAATAAATAAAACAAGTCACTACCGTGTACACAAACGAACCTGCACAAAGATTTCCTCCCACATGGATGACAATGTTCGGCTTGTGACATCATCACATGCAAAGTTCATCACCGTGCAACCTTGCGGGGGGGAAGTGCGGCCGGATAACATCTTCATGACGCTCCGCTCATGATGGACAAGAACTCCTCTTGGTTGACTGTCAGACAAACGCACGCCGTCACTTCCTGTTTCGAACTCATTACAATCCAATGCAACACCCGGCGGCCGCATCATTAGGTACACCACGGAACCATGTTCAGTTGCTAAAAATGTACGCTTGTTTGACTCTCGTCAGTTGGAAAACATCGACTCACTCATGTAGCCATGTAAGAACTCTGGTTTTAACCCCAAAAGTTGGAAAAATGTATCAATGTCATGAGTGCAATTAATGGCAGTAGGAATTTAAAATGGGAGGACAGAAATTTTGTACAAGTCATTTTGTTTTGATCCGTTAGAATTTCACAGTTGAGTTTTTGTATTTTACGTGCCAATTTTCACAAAGCAGCTATTTACTGCAATGTTCAACACATACGCCCAAGTAAACATCAAGTTAATACACAATTGTGCTACTTCCTTATTTTGAATTAAACAGTAGGAGATCACAGTAAAAAGTTATCATACCTTAAAGTTGTTCAACAGAAACATGCTGAAGGAAGAGACATTCTTGGACTAAAGCTGCCCGGTACGAAGAAATTTGTCGGGAGTTAAGGGCCAAATATATTTTGCCTTGATTTTCGATATTTAATGTTGTCAGTGTTCTTGCCATTTGTGTTTCTATTTTTCATGCAGACTTGATTGTGAAAGTTGACATGGGAGGAGACCAAATCACCAGGCAGTCAAACGCGGCTAAATATTGCGGAGAAAACGCAACGCGGGAGACTTACTTTCGCCATCTCCATCGCCGTCGAAGGCGTCAATCATACTGCGCAGTTCTTCGTCGCTGGTGTTCTCGCCGAGCTCCCTGGCCACGCGCTTCAGGTTCCTCAGGCTAATGGTTCCCGACTCGTCGTCGTCAAAGAGCCGGAAGGCCTTCAGGATCTCCTCCTTGGGGTCACGCTCCAGGATCAGATCACTTACTGCACACACGGTCCCCCCCCGCCCGACGCCACAAGTCAGCGTGTACCCCATGTACGCATGTTGAGGGAGGGTTGGGGGTTACTCACCCACTTCGCTGAAGTCCTCAAAGGCTATTTTGCCCGTTCCTCGCGTGTCATAGTCCTTCAGGATCTGCATGACATCCACCTTCTTCACCTCGAAGCCCAGCGCTCGCATCGCCACCTGATGATCAAACAAATAATAACCGGTGAGAGTCCACCAGAGCAGGGAATGTCCATAAGTGATCAATGTTTTGCCCTAGGAGCTGATTCTCAAAACCACGGCACCATCTTTTTTTTTTTTTTAAAGTGTGTGTTTTAACATTATATCACCCACTTGAGGGACTAGTACAAACCCTGCACTACTTGAGGATGAAATTTTGTGGCGTTAAGTCACCTTCAATTCGTGGTAGTCAATTTCATTGTCTTTGTCGGTGTCGAAGAGCTCAAAGGCTTCCCGTATTTCGTGTTTTTGCTCGTCGCTCAGCTCCTTCCTCTTCTTCCGTTTGCTTTTGTCTGCTGAAACGTCACTGCTGCTGCCCAACAATAGGAAATATATGTTGAAACTGACAGTCAGATATTATTGAAATGGACTTTTGAAAAAACATTTCTCTGGCCCCATCTGATGCCTCTAATTTAATTGTAACAGTCAATTTAAAACCATTTCCGAAGGAGAAGACCAATCCAATCAGAGGCTGCCATTTACAACACTTTAAATTGGTCAATAATTCGAAAAAGAATTTTACACACACGTGTTTACTGACCCAATAGCATGGATTTGTGGATAAAAATCCAAAATTTACCAAATTGTGACATGAGAGGTTTTGGCCCAAAGTTAAGAATACAGTACGTCAAATGACATCCAAAGATTTTCTCTATGAAAATATTCGAGCTTTAGCCACCCGGAAATACAAGTGACGTCACGGAAATATGTGTCGCTCCAATCACAACCACACTGTAAACCCATCACGTCCATTAGGTTTTTAAGTTTTGCATCGTCAACAGCGCCCCCGGCAGTTTCCAGCGGCACTGCAACATTTGACCCGCCCCAAAGGCACAAATCCGCCCCAAATGGACAATTATTCCGACTAAAAAAAATGGTGGGTGTGCAACATAAGCATAAATGAGCCTTGTTGTCCGTCAGTCTTATCTCACGTTTGCGATATGTCTGCGTCTTCGTTTTCTTCACTCATCGTCCTGCCAACGAGTCAACTTCGAGGTTTTTCTCATATTGTTTTGTGGTGTAGGTCGACAACAAATCGCCCACCCTCCCCCCGACGTGACGCCATTAATTGTGACATTAACACGACATTTGTCTCGTCCGGCGACGTGTGCCTGATGTCAGCCAGACATCGCGAGCTAGCAGGCTAGGCTAACTTTAGCTTCCGTCAGCGGCGTCAAACAGACGCACTTACCTTAGCTTCATTTAACGTCACCGCACAACATGTGGCGTCACGTTGACCTACCTGGAGTCGCTCATGCTGGCGGCTTTGGTGACGCTCGCGAGGCCAAGTCGCGTTTAAACTTGAAACATTCTCACAAACAAAAAGCGACACAAACACCGCCATTGAGCGGCGAGCCAGCAAACCATTTGTCCGCGCTCGATTGGAGGCTTGCTATTGGCCGACAAGTCACTAGGCAACAATACGAAGGGATCTGATTGGTCGGTGGCATTGTTGTTGTTGTTGTTGTTGTTTTTACATTAACAGCATATGACGCGTATCCGATTACCCTTGAGTTGGGATTTAAATACATTTAAAACAAAATAAATAATACCAGGTAAATATTAGATATACAGTATTTATATTTTTGTGGAGGACTTATAGCAAGCAAACGCAGCTACAATAAAATGCTGTACAATTATCCCTCAGTAATATTTCTTTAATGAGTGCAAAGTGAAGAGTTGTTGGTATTTTATGGAATACATAATTATTAACAGTGATATATAATTCTAAATTATAATTGAACAGAAAGCCTTTATTGTCACTGACTGTTGCGATTCAACCAATTTGGGGATATAATACACCCAGTATGTGTTGATATAAATTTGTATGTAATGTAACAAAACCCACCGCCATATATTCTTTATAGACTGCTAAAACGACTAATATTACTGCAATTTACTGAAAAGCCATGAGTGTATATTTATCAGTCAGTATGTCTGTATTATAGTGCCCCCAAGTGGCCATGGCGCGCGCGCGCACACACACGCACACACACACACACACACACACACACACACACACGGATGGAACGGCCTTGCATTGATCTCGATCATTGTTGTGGATTTCTACTGGGATGACGTTCCCACGGACGCTTATCACCTCCGTCGCATGCGTGTGTCCCCAGATAGTTGCAGGAAGGGACAGCTCAGGAAAGACTCAAAGTCTCGCCGCTTGTCACTCACTTCCTGTTTCCAGAGCGGCACCCAGACTATCTTTGTGCTGATAAAAGTCAAAACTTGAGGATTGCTAATAATGATAAGTGATTATTTCAGGGCTTTTTAAAAATTGGCACACAACTGTAACACAAAACACATTGACACGCACACCCAAGATGAAGGACGAGCTCCCTGGGGTGCACTCAAGCGGTTTATAAAGTGCCGGGGTGGGATCGATTTTTGCACATGTGTGTTTTGGTGACGCAAATGTTGCTCAACATTTCATAGCCCCAAAACATATTTCAGAAAAACAATGCTAAGTCGTTTTTTTTTACAAGAAAATGAACAAGAACAAAATAAAGCCAGCAGTGCCTAGTTTCAGTCGACCTATGTCTTCACTCACGCACTACTCGGTCCAGTGACTTCAACCACAGCGATGAAACACAGGCGAATTAAAGGGATGTCATCTTGTTTGCTTTTTCAACTGGAGCTTCATTCCATCCCATTTTAGCAGAAAACACTTTTTTTATGGCAGTCACGCTTGTCACTGAGGGTACCTGCTCCACACACACTTTTCCTAACTACCGCTGCCTTCTTTTCCGGGTTCTTCCCCAGCCAGTTTCTTCGTCACACATCCCGGTAACATTTTCATGAATTTATAAAAACTTGCCCGGACACCCCGGACAGGGTATAAACATGTAGACATGTCCGGGCAAAAGAGGACGTTTTGTCACTCTACTCTAATGTTAAAAGTTTGCCCTGAAGCTAACATTGGAAGCTAATATTAGCATTCCAAACTTCCTTAGCATTAACGTGCATTGTTAGCTCACAATGTTTTCCTCAGCGTGTAGCAACAAATTATTTTCTGCTTGCTGTTCTTTACCTACATGCGTGCTATCCACACATTAGCGTATACCGTATGCCAACAACTCGCCCGCTAAGCTCACACTTGACGTAGAAACATGACAAACTGATTAAAATCCAAACTAATTCCAATTATTCACAAATGAAACATACTTTTTAGTTGTTGGGTGTGTGTGCTTGTATCCTTCCTTACCAAACTCCACCCTGAGTGTGCACAAAGACCCCCTGTCCACACACACACACACACACACACACACACACACACACACACACATGCGCACACGTAACAAAAACAATGTGTGTGTGTCGATCCTTCCTTACCAAACTCCCCCCTGAGTGTGCACAAAGACCCCCTGTCCACACACACACACACACACACACACACACACACACACACACACATGCGCACACGTAACAAAAACAAATCAAATGTGTCGAAAGGTGACAACGTGGTCTTTGTGCTTCCACAAACTTCTACTGTGCTCCATCGGCGGCCCTTTTGGCTCTGTTTGGAACTTATGGCTCCTTCTATTCGCTTCTTTTTTCAACATGCATTTCTAAGCGTATTTGATTTTGTTTTCTCGTCCCTCATTTTATTCTTTCCTTGTTTTATTCCGTTACTTGTTGTCCTGTTCTGTTTTATTCTATCGGGTGCTCCACCCTGGTTGACCTTGTTGCGAGCAGTGCACGTGTGTCGTCGTGCCTTCGTTTGAGAGGCTCGCCGTCGTTAAATCCAAGATGGCCTCCCGATAGCTGACCTTTTTCAAAACTGCTGACTTGACCTTCTGCTGTTAAGGTCACTGAACAAGCAAGGCCTCATTTGTTTTTTACGTTTGTCTGATAGCAGCGTTGTTGATTTTGTTCAAGCATGACGACGACTTGACATGTTTATCTTTTTTTCATTTGGGGCTCTTCGGCTTTTATCGTTATAATGCATATGTCAAATTATTGCCTTTCAACACAGTTGACACCCCCCAATCTTTTATTTTTATTTTTTGGAACCTATTGACAGCTCTTCAGATTTTTTTTTTTTTTATCCTTTAACTGAAATACCCTAAAGTGCCGCCCCAGCACTCTCTAGTGATGAAAGGCCTGGTAGGCATGTTGATCATGAGTAGACCCACAAACAAAGCTTCAAGAAGCCCTGTCCTAATAACAAGACAGGAAGTCTCCCTAGTTGGATCAAATATACCATTTTAGGGCCAATTTGGACAGTTCGAGGGGTTCTTCAAAAATGAATTGGTCCCACAATTAAAAAAAATAACAAAAAATCCCCAAAGCCAGTATGACTTAGCAACATGAAAATGAGTAGACATGCCTATCATGTGTCGAAGCTTTGCCCCTAAAAGACAAAAAAAAAAATCTGCCATTTTGCTTCCAATCTGC